CACAACTGGAAAACGTTACAGTAGCGTTTGTTTGTCAGGCTTTTGCCTTGGAGAGAGTGCTCTGGCATTGAACTTAGACAATCTCCACATGTTTTTTATTTCATTCAGGGTGCCTGGTGCCCGTTTGACAACAATGCCCGATTGTCCGAGCTCTTCACCATACAGCGTTTATGTTCGCAGCCCAATTCTCAGATTACGGCATCAGGGGCAAACAATATTAGAAAGGCAGTTAAAATGCATCTCAGGTGTTCCAGGCTTTAATGCTACATGGCCATTCCCTTCACTTCCATACTCGAGGGTCATGTTTTCAATATGAGAGAATGCTTCTGTGAGAACAAGGAATCTACTCAGCATGGAGGCATGTGAGCTTTTCTCTTCATTTGTCCTCCTCTTTTTCCTCTCCTCTCCCCTATTTATTTGCTCCAGGTCAGCTAAAGGCAGGCTGTGCTGGGTTATATAATATACTTCTGGTATGGGGAGTATAAATGAAAGTGTGGGTGAGGTATGCTGTTTGAAAAACCTGACAGGACGGGAGCTTATTGGAAGCATATGTGAGAGATCGCTGCTGTCTAGTTTTTCCTCTCCTCTCTTCTCCTCTGTCTCCATTCTTTTTGCTCCTTAATCTAGAATATGAATGAAGCTGACCAAAATGAAAAAATCTGCCACACTGTTTAGTGTTTGCGTTTGGTGTGACTATAACTTCTCCTTGCAGAAGACCTCTGTCTTGGGATTACCAGGCAGAGCTCTGTCTTCGCCAGGTGTTGACAGCAAAAGCGATGCCAGGAAAAAAGTGACGACGCAAAGGAGAACATCAGGTTCAGTTCACTGATTTAAGCAGCTGTCAGATATTCCAGATATTCAGGAAGGGTAGCTGTAGATGTAAGCTGATTTTTTTCACCTGTTGAGCTGTTCTCACATTGGCAGTGTGAAATCTATAAAAGGTATCTGAGAGAGGCGAAATTCATGATAGGATATATGGCCACAAAGTAGCTAGTGTAATATTATGGCTTGTTTCTTTTTGATAGGATGAACGTTATGTTAGGAGAGCCCCATATTCAGTAGTTATCCAACAGAATTACTTACTGGGCACCATGCATGCTTCAGTTCACTACCGATGTCCATAAAACAATTAAAGAAAGATTGAAAAAAATGTCAAGGAATGGTGATCAGGGGTAGTCGGATGAAATGTGCACTGATCACATGGGCCATCAAGCCAGTGACTCCATTCATACATCCATCTTCTAAGCCGCTTATCCTTCTGGGTCGCAGAGGGTGCTGTAGCCTATGCCAGCGTTCATCGGGCGGAAGGCAGGAAACACTCTGGACAGGTCACCAGTCCATCACAGGGCAGGCAGCGAAACCTGGGGCCAAAATTAAGACGCTGTAGAAACAAAGAAACATTTTTATTATATATACACGTTATTTACATTTAAATGGAGCCATGGCTGTTAAGACATACAAGCCTCCATATGGTGTACAGGTCCAATACTACTGTGGCGTCTGCCATAAGCTGTGCTGCCTTTGGAGAGCTTGTGGGGTGTGACTGTGCAAAGTGGCTCTTGGGAGGTGCAATGCTCCCAGTAGAAGAAAGACATTTGTTGTAGCTGTTGTTGTTGTGTGTTAATGTGTTGCATTTGTGTTGTTAAATTGTGTCCATGGAGGGTGGGCTTTGTATGTGAGGTTCTTTCTCTACATGCGTCGTGTCTTCCTCCTTCCCAGCTTTGTGTGGGGTTGTGCCGTGCTGGGCTTTACTAGCCTTTGTAAGGACTCGCTGTTTAGTGCCGTTAAAAATAAAAGAGCATTTGTCCATATGCGTAATGTTTTCTGTGTCTTATTAAATCATGTTGTATAAACCAACAAAAACACTTGATTTTTATTCTTTTTTCTACTAGTATTTTTTTGCAGCATCAAATGTTTACTATCTCCCTTCTCCACTGAGGGAGGAGCAGGAGAGCTAAATATCTATTATATAGTATAAACATTTTGATTGTCTTGTTTTCCATAGGACTGAGTTCAGTGCAAGCATATGACATCATCACAATGTGACAATGGCTACCTACTAAGCAGTACAAGTAGTTGTTTTGTTATTAATGGTAGATCATTTTGACTGTGTGAAAATCCAACTGGTCTGATGATTTGTTAAAAAGGAAAGAAATCTCCAAAAAAGTGGCCAACTAGGCTAAAGAGTGCATTTTTTTTGTGGCTGAAATATGAAATGTTTTGGGAAGGGGCACTGGGCAGTAGACAATGTCGACCCCTGGATTTAATAGAAGATGTAACGTGAAGCACTGTTCACAGCTTTGCCTAAAATGTGCAAACTGATTTTAACTTTCCTCTTTGAAAAATGCCCTTTCAGCTCTACAAAATCATGCGTCTACGCTCGTGCTCATTCTGTGTTACATGAGAGACATTTGAAACTTTTCTGAAGTGGGTTGTCCGAACATTCCCTGGCATGAATTTTGAGCAGTAGTGCAGAGGCCTAATTAAAGGACAAGAAAACAGGCGATTTTAATTGGAGCCGTTCATAAAAGCATCAGGAAATAAAATATTAGTTTGTTCAAATGAAAAGAGGTTGAAATTCTTTTGCTGTTATGCATTTTTATTAAATTAGGGTTTCGTTTTTTACAGATTTTATTGGCTTTAAATGCTAGCTTCACATAAATCTCAGCGGTGAGCGTTTTGTACCAGACGTTCTTTGTATGGCCTGGGTGAGTTGCTTCTCTTTGGCCTCCTTTGCAAGTGCATTCTCTCTCTTTGGTCAGCAATAACAATAGTTTCATGTCTGCTGTCTCCCTTGCTGAGGCCGTTGCCTTACTTCTGTCTGGTTGTGTGAGAGAAAAAGGGAAAAAAGGAAAGTCTTTATGTAAACAACCCTATGTTTTTCTTTCACTCAGCATCGGATCTGAGTGCTGCTGGATTCTTGAGGTAGAGCGCTTGACCACAGTCTCTGACTCAAGACTTGGGTCTGAGCTGAGTCCGGAGGAGAGAGAGAGAGAAGAGAGAGACCTGCAGCCAGCACGCTGAGGAAATACCACTGCTGCTTTGCTTTAATAAAGACTTCAGAGCTAATATTGCTATTTTTGGGCAAATCCAAGGAGGACTGGTGCCTATCTCTGTGAGGTAATGGTTGATTCGCTCCGAAAGAGGGCACTCTGAATGCTGTTGTGTGAGTAAGAGAAAAGAAAGTTTTACTTTGTTTCACAGTGGTTGTTCTTTTTTTTCCTTTCATTTTAAACTTTTTGAGGAATTTTGAGGCCATCTGGAGTCAATCTGTTGTCTACAAACTGTCGAGCCATATTAATTTGTATTTTCGATCTGAAATCTGTAGCAGCTGCAGTGGTTAGTAGCTCTTTCTGTCTTTTGTTTCAGTCACTTATTTGAAGTAAGGCTGCATACTGTGGGCTTTTAAGAGGAGTAAAGCACTATTTCTGCTCCCATGCCTTTATCATGGTTCTTTTCCGAAATACAATGTTGCTCTGACACACAGCAGTGCTGGATGAAGAACCTTTGTGGAGAAGCACAGTTGAGAAAAGACAGAAAAGACACAGAAAAGAGGAGAGGCAAAGAAAGAAAATGCATCTCTGCCTCTTGATAATAGATGTTCAGGGTTCTGGGATACATGCAAGAATGAGATCAGGGATGTGTTTCAGGGCTAATGCAAACTGCTTCCATCTCCAAAAAACTCAAATTAAATGCACAGATTTGTACACAGTAGTGAATCGTAGGATGCAACAGTGCTGGCAGCTTTTGTTATTATGTCTTACTAATCCATTTGATAGCAGAAATGGGAAGAAATGATGGGCAGAGCCATGAATTAACGGAACGGCAGAAGATTTCTATTGGAATTCTAAGCATTAACTGGCATATTGAGGGATCACCAGGAAATTAAACGGCACAGGATAGTGAAATGAAGGGAAAATCAAAGACTGTGCTGATGGGAACAGATTTAGAGACCAGATCTCTCACCGCCTTCAGCATGCACACAGGAATCAGGAAAGTGAGTGGGAAATGGAGGGGGAAAAGTCTCCCTCGGTGAGCGTGCTGCTGTTGATAATCAGTAACTCGGTGGTTAATGATGAAGGCTGCTCTTATCATCACTATCAGAGTGGAACTGAGCCTGTGTTCAGTGCTCAGGGCCACTGTGGTCTGAGGGCTGATTATGTTTTCAGTAGTGCTGTCTTGCCACCCTGTTTTAATTATGGTGTACAGATTCAGGCTGTTTCACACACCCAGCAGCTTCCTGTGGTTAAGCAGTTACAAGACTAAGACAGGAAACCCATCTTTTGTTGTTACAGTAAATGACATTGTGATAGCCACTTTTTAAAATCAGATCTAGTTTATGTATGAACACTCCTATAATTCATAGACACTCGTATAGTGTGTGTTGCCTGGAGCTGCGTGTCCATTTGTGCTGTGTTTCCTAGTATCAACGCTGAATGCTAAATAAATGACAACAAAAAATGTCCAAAAAGCATGTTTGAAAAATCAGTGGTTCAAATATTGTCACATTTCACTACTCAACCAAATGAAGAGGCATTCCATGTAGTAAAAGACACCACTCATTAAGCTGCTGTTTTCATAGATGAGTGGAAATTAGCTAGCTAGCAGTCTGAGTTAGCCGAACACCTCTTTCCTAGATATTATCTAGGCAGCCGCTAACTTTTTCATCTGAATGACAACAAAAGCAGGAGCAAGAAAATGGACAAAAACACTAAATTGTAGTCACTGTTTATTCCATACAGTGTTTTGGACCCATTACTTCCACTTCTATGAACATGTGCATTTCTTGCATTTTTTATTTTTTCAGACCCTAGATTTCCTACACCTGACATGGACTTCAATAAATAAAAAATACAAAAAAACAAGATAATGCACAAACAAAAACTACATATTTGTGGGGCCTCTGGTGGCTCGAGGGCCTAAGCGACTGTGTTTAGCAATTATAGCAAGAAACTGCCCTGGCTGCGTGTTCTGACTTCTCTTTGTCTGTACTTTTGAAGGTGCGTGGAAGTCCAGAACCTCAAGTGTGTTGGTTTAGAAATGGAAAAGCTGTGATCGCCGGAGGCCGGTTCTCCATGGAACAGAGCGCACGTGGAACATTTAGCCTGATGGTTGAAGGAGTCCAGGAAGAAGATGCAGGGCGATACACCTGTGAGGCTGTCAATGATGCAGGCAGTCGACAGGTTACTGTGGAGATAATTGTTGAAGGTACTTTGTCTTAACTGAGTTTTATAAGAAATTAAATAAATCTGGGTCATGTCCAGCTCCTGATGCTGTCTAGATTTAGATATAGCACAGAAAAAAGCTTTTTTAAAGGTTGTTCCAGCTTTCTAGAGACTAGCAGTGCTGCCCTGCATTTTCTTTTTTGTTTGCCATGTTTTAGAAATTCCACTCCTGATTCACTGTGATCTTTTAACACCGTTAAAACTAAAATTGTACATTCACCACCTTGAAAGAAAAGGTTGGAGCTAGGTGATGCTTTGTGAGCTGATGTGTGTGATCTTTGTTTTGGCTGAATAACTTTCATACCACAGAGAAATCCCTGAGTGTCGTCCAATGGTCCAAGCACAGCTTGGCTAACGAACTCCCACACTAAAAGAGGGAGAGACTGTGTTGGCAGACGTCCCGAGCTTTATTCATTTAGCCTGACTAAAGCAGGGCCTGATGACAGAACACATTTTATCCTTCACAAATCTGTTACCTTGATACATGAACTATACACAATATTGAATAAGCAGCAGGGCATCTCAGCAAATTGTGACAAAATTGCCTTAACAGACATTGATATTTGAAAATGTAAATGCAGATGTTTGGATTTTAACATAACCACCAAGTGGAATTCAGTTAATGCATTTAATTCCAACTTCACTACTCTTTGTCATTCAGCATAGCAACTTAACGTGCACCCTCAGCTCTTAAAGCTCATGATTACGGCAGGACATTGTTGAAAGCCAGAAGCATATTTGCAAAACCAACATTTCTGCCTGTTCTCATTGAGGACTCAAAGCGTTTCTTTTCCTGTGGTGAGGCTGCACTGGCCCTGTCCTCCTGTATGTGCTCACATTCCTGTGCAAATACTCCAGCAGCTGTGTCTGAGTATTTCCGCTGCCGCGATGCTGCTCATACTGACTTTACATTAGGCATGAAATAGCTGCTTGGCACTCCAGTTTACATCCCAACTTAGCGTAAGCACTGGGTGCAGGTCTACATCTGCACTGATTTATACCATCATAAACATTCACCAAAACACCTCAAGCTTCCTGAAACTGAAGCAGAAACATATGGGGTAACGCATGCATTCTGCCACTGGTGGCATAAACAGTGTGTGAGGTCATGTTTGAGGAGAGCGAGAGAGACTTCCACACAGCTGAGATGTGTTTGTGTGTGTTTTGTTTTATGTTGTACTAATGTGCCCTTGTTTGTTGTGCATTCATGTTTTTCGTCCATCACACAGACAATGCAGTGAAGAAATACAACCTGTCCTCTTCCAGTAAAACAGGGTAAGCGTTCTGTTTTCTGAGTTTACTGTGAGCATGTTTCACTGGCAATCTTAAAACCTTTGAGCTTTGAGATCAAAAGATCCAAAGTTTTGTTGCGTTATATTGAGTTTCAGCATTTTGCAATAATCTGTTTTCCTTGCATGGAAAATTTATCCCATTACATTCTTCATGAGAACATTCGTAGCTTAGGAGAGCAGGCCAAAAGCAAGTTAAAAGAAACAGTTCCTTCAGTGTGTCAACATATCAGTTATTCATGTAAGTTATTCAGGTAGTTCCTAAAAAGGAATTTTGATAAATGTCAATGGCACTGACCTGACGTAAAGATGTTGATCAGCTGTCAAATCTGAAGACACCTTAGAAGCCACTGCTGTCATTCTGATGGCTATATAAAGAGTTTTCTCATACGGAAAAAATATTTTTTGATAATACTAGGGTTGCACTGTGTTCACTCTTGGTTTGTATCCTGTATTCTAAGGGGTCGCTTAGGGCTCCCTGCAGTGGAGAACAGACCGAGTATCTGGGGTGAAAGCCCCCCAAAGTTTGTGACCAAACCTTCACGCCTCTACCTGAAAATAGGGCAGACGGGCAAGTTCTCTGTGAAGATCACAGGACGTCCCCAGCCTCAGGTCCAGTGGTTTAAGGTAGGACAATGCAATAAAAGATATGCCTGAAAAATATAAATTCACGTTCATACAATGTTATGTTATTTAGCCAGCAAAACACTTTTGGTGAAAAAAGTTTGCTTCTTTCGTTTGACATTGGAATTACAAGGCTAATATAGCTAAAATGCAGCAGAATCTTATGCCCACCAAACTGCATCAGGCTTGTTTAATAAAATCAAATTGACTATAATTTCTGACGCTGTTCTGACACAAATTAATATATATATAAAATGGATAAAAGTACATAACAGAGCTAAAACAGTAGTCGCAGCCATTTATTTGCTCCACTAAAGAACCATGTTTAAAAAGAGATTGTTTCTAGAACCTTTACATTATGTGAAAGATCTTAAAAAAAAAAAAAGGTTCTTCACATTCACACATCTGATTTACAAAAACAGTTTTTCAAGGAAACATTCACTGAGAGGTTCTTTAGGAAAACAAAAATGTTTTTCCATGGGATTGTACAATGTACCCTCTTTAGCATGTTTACAGGCACTAGTATGTGATACACTGTCAGAAACCTTAATTAACAACCGGACATGGTTCGAAAAACAAGAAATAAAGTTTATACAATCCTAATCTGTTGGGGTAAACACTTCCATTGTCAGCTATGTTACCGTTGCAACTCCACTGCAAGACTTTGGACACCAAACACATCTTGACTAGTTTAGTACATTTGGAGGGAAAGGGGGACATTTATTTATTTATTTTCTTCACTTTTTTCACATTAAAGTGCACATTATCAGCTTTACTGTATATTAGAGAGATAAACATATATGAAGAGTTGTTTACTCTCTGTTTTGACTTTTTAAGGGTGATGAGGAGCTCCAGAGTTCAGATCACTACAACATGTTTGAAAGGTCCGGGCTGCACTTCCTGGAGATCCGCTGTGCATGTGCAGAGGATGCTGGCATATACACCTGCCTACTGGCCAACAGCGCGGGTAAAGCCTCTGCTACGGCAGAGGTCACAGTTCAAGGTAGAAAACATTTCTGAACCTATGACTTTCACTACAAAACACATCAATATGGCATCAATATGGCATTGAGATATCAAATGTTGTAAAGACAACTGAGCCAGGCTGCAACTTTGGTAATATTTTTGATTTTCCTTTTGCTATAATATTACTGTACTTACTGAATGTACTGTGATTTACTGTATTAACCTCTTTTTGGTAAATGTGACTATATTTCTGGTTTTTTTTTAGGTTCAGACACAGAAGAAGGCATGTAAGTACATTGAAAAAGTGATATTTGATTTTGATCCTTTTAAAGTTGCTAAGCACAGTATTTCAAAATTCCTTAGACTGGACTGTTTTTGCAAATCTCCTTCCAACATCTTATCTTTCTCAACCAGAACCAAATCTTCACCTCAGGATCTCCCAAAGGGGGCTGCTTCACCTGCCATCAAACACTCCAGCAACGGCCTTATCAATGACCAAAGACCTGCCAGCACTTCGGCATGGACTGTAACCATGGACACACACACTACAGTGACCACCACCACAACAGCCAAAGAAAGCCTGGCAATCAGGCCAGAGGTACGTGAAAGCACTGTGACGTCAGCACCGCAGCCCACTGATGAAGCCAAAGATGAGGTGTCAGCAATAGGTCAACAGAGGTCAGTCAGCTCCATGACCTTTAGGAGTCAACAGACCAAGAAGAGCAGTTTTGATTCCAGCAGCAGAGGAACAGAGCAAGATGTGGAAGCAGAAGCAAATAGATCTCCAGTGAGAAGCCCAGTGCCTGCAGTGATGGAGTCTAGCAGGGAGGCCCGCAGGCTGGCCAGAGAGAGTCGGCTCGAGGCCCTGGCAGCCCCACCCAGCTTTGACTCCCAGCCTCAAAGCCAGGAAGTCACAGAGGGAGCTGAAGTCATATTCAAATGCCAAGGTATGTCGACCTAATATTGGATAATAAAGGAGCAGTTTGGCACAAAAAATCTAATGTACCCAATTTTCCCTTCCAAACCACAGTCTGCTTCTTTAGTTTTGCACTGTGGCTAACAAGGAATAGAAGTGTATAGCAGTCCAATCAGCATGTCTGAATCACACAGCTGCTTCAAATTGCATTGAGTTGTTAAGTAATCTCAAATAGACTTGTGTGACATTGTATCACAAACAGTTATCTATAAAAAGTATGGGCAAAATTCAGGCATCAGGATGGCTGCTACTACCATTTATATAGACGCAATGGACTTTTTCCATCTATTTCATCCATGTCATATACTGTTAGAAACCTATGGAAGCCCAGGCAGAGGAAAAAAAAAAACCTATGTTGTGTGTTTTAATGTTGTTGTTTTTTTTTTCCTGCTGTCAAAATATTGACTTAGTATTTCAAAAAATGTCTTTCTTGAAATATTGATGTGTATCAAAATAAATACTTCTTTTTTAAATGTATTACTTTACTAGCTCTATATAATGATTTATTTCTTGAAATTTTGAGAGACTGTGTAGAAATAATGAGTTATTTAAAGTAATTATTTTGGATCATGACATATTCAGTCATTCTTTTGACATAGTAAGTAAGTACAACATTTTGAGAAAACAAGCAATTTGACCTAGTCAGTCAATGTTTTAGTAAAATGAGTTGTTGTTGTGAGATAATTAAAAAATGTAAGAAAATTAGTCATTATTTCAAGATACTAAGTCAATATTTCGAGAAAGTAAATCATTATTTTGAGATACTAAGTCAGAATTTGAAGAAAAAAAAGTCATTTTCAATACATGAAGTCAGTATTTTGACATACTGCTGTCAGAAGCAGGAAAAAGTACATAGACATTTTTTTTCTCTGCTGGGTCAAAATGGCCTTCCACAGAATCCACATAAGCAGGTCTATTTGAGATTAACTTCAAAACAGAAGAAGCACTAAAGAAGCAAAGCGTATCGTGGTCAATTGACTGAAATTGGCAGCAAATTGTATACATTATTTGCCAAAAGTATTTCCTTTAATGCCTCAATTTCTGATGCTTTCACACATTTTTGAATAATAACTATAGTGTTGCAGAGTTGGGTATAATATCATATGTTTCAGATCTGAAACAAATCCTATCTTAAGAAGTGAAAACGTATGTAAAGTGTGCGTGTGTCCTCAGTGTCTGGCTGGCCGGTGCCTGCTGTGAGCTGGGTTAAAGATGGCGCTGTGCTCAGACAGAGAGCAGGGATCAGATCACAGCAGGAGGGAAGTCTGCATCTGCTCTGTGTGGAGAATGTACAGAAAGCAGATGCAGGCCAGTACGGCTGCACCGCTACCAACAGCAAAGGAAAAGTTACCTCCAGCTGGACGCTTACAGTGAAGAGTAAGTGCACTACATCTGATTGGTGCTGCATTCCAGCCTGCAGTGTAGTAGCAGCAGTAGTAGAAACTTTATTGTGCCCTGTGGGGAAGTTATTTTCCAGTGAGTTACCATCACATAAGAGATGGCCAACAATGACTACATAACACATCATCACCAAATAGTGCACAGTCCTGTAACGTATATTGTACGAATCAAATTAAAGGTCCTTATTAACTGTAATGAACAATGTAATAGTATAATAGTAAATGCATAGGTGTAAAGCATAGTACATCATGTTAAAGCACTCTAATGACTGATCCTCAGTCAGCTCTGTATGTATGGACTGGTATCCTGCCAGTTAGTCAGTCTAATATTATTAATTGTTAATTAAATGGTTTTTTTTATGAATTAGTACTTTTTTAAATCCATTTTTGGCCCATCTTTTTGCAGGTCAGCAATTCAAAGTTCAGCTGGCAGTCAGCAGTGAAGTAAAGGGGCTGAATTATTAGCTGTGAATTTCTCCCCACTTGGTTCTGGAATGTTCCATAGTAACACTGCTATGCTTTAGCTCTCAGGGTGTGAAGATATTTCAGCCCATTCAGGACAAACTCATCTACCACATTCTCTGGGAGAATAAGTAACATCTGTTTTCTAATAACATCTGTAAGATCTGCTATATCAGACCTGCTGGAATAGTAGTGCATGCAGAATTCAGGTGTTACATATGTTTAGGCCTATGTGTGCTTTCATATGTGGAATATGTTTCATGTAATTAGAGAGAGCAGGCTCACAACTTAACATATTCTTGTTTTTGCTTGATGAGTTTAAGTATTTCAGCATGATTATTTTTTTATACAATCAGTCTGTACATCTTTGCAGATGCTATAACACTGGTAAATCGATTCCAACCTAAAAACATAAAACATATGCATCAAAATAAAGATTATTTGTGAAAAGTGGCAAACACTGGCAAGTTTACCCTTGACCACAAAAGCAGAACAGTAAATATCAGGATGATAAAACTGCAATATATTTTTTTTCTTACATGACATCTATAGTACACTTTAGATCAGAGGTCTCTAATAGCGGACCGCGGCCCGAGTCCGGACCCAGACGCTGTCCTATGCGGACCTGAACCCATAACCGATAAACTATGGAGAATTATTTACTTTTGACGAGGTCGTCCTATTTTAATTGGCGTAGATTTTCTAGCCTTTACGGTACGGCTTTAGCGGACCGGGAAACTCACAGACCAATCGCATGCGTTGTAAATTTTTACACGTGACTCTACTCAGCCAATCAGATCTGTGCATTACGATGAGCACTGAGACTCAAGTGAGTGATGCGCAGACAGGGGAGGGACGAGGCAAGAAACAGCAGTCGGAGAAGAAAGTGAGCCAGGGGGAAGCTATTTCACATGGCATTCTCTAAAAAGAGAAAACCGACAATAAATATTGTTGAAATATTACTACATAAATCTATGAATAAAAACTTTCAAAAACAGTCACTGTTTTGCATTCATATTGGAGGGATATAGATTCTCTTATTGTTATTTTGGGAGGCATAGTTGTAACACTGTGTTACATGTAACCCTGTTGTGTAGAGACTGTACTTTAGCCTTGTTAGCTTTTGCTGTCGGTTGGTTAAAATAATGCATGTGTGAATTCTGTGTTTTATACACAACTCAATAATCAAATATTCTTATGATGATACACTTTTATGCTAAGAAATCCTAAGAAACATCTGTCTGATTGCTACCAGAAATCACAGTTGCTCTGGGAATACAGAAAGACTAAAAGCATGTTCTACTTCAGGGGTGCATAGCTCTGGTCCTGCTGGGCCAGCGTCCAGCACAGTTTGGTGATTTACCGACTCAAACACACCTGATTACACTTGTCTGTTAATTGGCAGATATAGTGGGTGTGTTTGAGTAGAGAAACCTCCAAACAGTGCTGGACACTGGACCTCCAGGACCAGAGTTATGCACCTCTGTTCTGCTTGAAGCTGTTTATCTATATGAAATATCTGTGTTAAATTTGCCCTCAGGTTAGTTGTGCTCTTACCTACACTGTGTAAACAGAAGTATCCAGACACCTCTTCTAATTTGTGAATTCTTGAAAACTGACATGGGCATTCAGTTCCACACACAGCTTGTATATTCATAGAAAAGCACTGCCAATAGAATGGGATGCTCTGGAGCAGCCACACAAAAGCATAAGGTCACCATTCTCAATGCCAACATCGGCTAGAGGGGTATAAAGCCCCCAGCACTGGCACTTGGAGCAGTTTAACTCCATCTCTGGAGTGGTGGAGCATTATTGAATACCTTTTGAATGAGTGTCATTAGTGATTCAGGACTAAACATCCAACATCAATATCTGACCTCACTAATGCTCTTGTGGCTCAATGCAGTCAAATCATGACAGCAATGTTCTATCATCTAATGTTCAGTACTGAGGAGCGAAGGACAGAGTAAAGACTTTTTCTGCAAAAAAGAGGGAACAAACTCTCCATTAATGCGCTCAATTTCAAAAGAAACTTTTGGAATACAGTGTAGAATTCACTTTGAAAAGGAGCATTAAAATGAGAATAAAGTCAAAACTAAATATATGCTTATTTATATGTCAAGTTCCTAAACTGAGAGTTGGGTCATCCTACAGAAACCTCCACTTTTCTATCTATCCATAGGTGTCACTGGTGTTACCAAGCCTCATTGGTGTTACACATAAGAAAGGTAACACCAGTGACAGTAACACCAGAGACATTTTTAATGAAAAATGCATTTTACAAAATGGCTGCAAAAGAGCATCAAACCACATGTTGTCAGTCATGGAATATCCACTAAAATATGTAATTTAATCCATTTGTGTTCTGTTTTTTCACAGCTACCTAGGAATAAAGTAGGTCACATCGGTGATATCAACTAAAAGCTTTATATGAAATCATGAGCTAAATGAGAAAATTTCTGATAACTGAAAAGTGACAGTGGATGTACCATGTGATTTTTTTTCATAGATCTTCAGAAAATAGGTTAAAGGAAGTCAAGTCATGTCATCAGTGTGACTTTTATTTTAAAATAAGAGATTTTTTGTCATGCGGTAACACCAGTGACACAACTCCTGGGGACAACAACTTTCATTATATATTTTATAATATTTATTTGGCATTTGTTTTCTTTGTCATTTAATTGATATATTCCATAGTCATGTATAGATTATTGTAGTTAAAATTGCAGAAAAATTTGTTTTTTTTCTTCAAAATATGGCACTCACCCTTTACACATGACTGTGGGGACAAGCACTTCTGTGGTGCTTGGAATTCTAGTAATTGATTTAAAAACCAATATTACTAAATTGATGGCTGAAGAAAGTGTAATTGTTAAAATAACTTATTGTTCTATTTGAAAATATAAAAAGTTGTAAGCCTAACATGTTTTTAAGTGTAATATATCTGTAAATGCTAGGGACACAAAAATGGACATTTCTGTAGAATGACCCAGTTCTTGGTTTGTGGTACTGTTGGATACTGTTTTAGGTTGTCTCTCTGTAAACTGAAAGAGGATATGGCTCTGGCTCAGTGATAATTGGGATGAAATTGTTTGAAAAAGAATTAGAGATGAGATTTTTATGCCAGATCTGGGAGTTGGCTAAGGCTGAGCTAATGTCACAGGCGTGCACTATATGGTCTATTTGAGAATTGTATGACCAAATAGAGGCCTAGTTTCTTTTATCACAATCTAACTGCATGCCTCACTTAGCTCATGTGCATTACTTTCATATCTCATACTCTTATGGATTTATCTAACATTTTGATGCTGAGAAATGTCAGTGTGGTTGTGCCACCTACTGGTCAGTGCAAAAGCCTGCAATCAGATGCTATGGTGTTTTGACCACCTCTGACCACCTCTTTTGTTTGTTTGTATGTGTTTGTGTGTAGGTGTACGTGTGGAGGGGAAGGCTCCTGTGTTCAGCAGTGCTCTGCAGGGCTGCACAGTGACAGAGGGACAGAGTTTTACTCTGCAGTGTTCAGTGGAGGCTCAGCCCCAGCCCATCATATCGTGGTTGTTTAATGGTAAGAAACTATAGTAAGTGGAGTAGAGTAAGTGGTCTGCGCACCTCTGTTATATATGTAAATTCCATAGAAAAAATGCAGGTCAGAACTGCTGGACACTAGTTTTAGAGTACACTCCAGTCATTATGGTGGCCTCAAACATTGCCAATGTTATACACTTTTTCAGCCAACAGATGGCAACGATGCCCCCTCCAGCACAGGTCCCAAATCCATTCCCAGGCACATCATACATGTGTTGGATCTCTTCAGTATTGGTCAGAAATATATGCCTTTACAGGGAGAAGGAGAACTTCTAGGAATATCTGAAACTTCTGAATGTGCTCAAGCCAGCGTTTTCATTACTGCTGCTCAAGACTCATGCCTGACCCTGACCACAGAGAGAGACATCTGTATGTATGCACGTGTGTGTGCGAGTGAGTTACTACTTCAACATAGATTGTGCAACTCTGTACTGGGGCCTGCCCATAGTGAGCAGGGATGGATCATGGTCTTCTGCATCTTTGGAGGCCCCCAAACTCTAACACCAAAACATAATTAATAAATACATACATGCATACACCCCATTTCCAAGCCGCTCATCCTTCTGGTTTGCCGGGGGAGCTAGAGCCTATCCCAGCAGTCATTGGGCAGAAGGCAGGAAACACCCTAGACAGGCCACCAGTCCGTCACAGGGCAGACACACAGATATATACGTTCACACAAACACACTCACACCTAGGGGCAATTTTGTGAGTACAGGAAACCGGAGCATACATACATAAATAAATAAAATAAATAAGTAAATAAATAAATAAAACCTGAAACGTGAGGTTAAACAATACTTCACATTCATGCTTATGTGCACTTTGAGCAAATGCAGATTTTATTCTTGTATTTTGAAAATAAACAAAATTACCCTTATTAATGTACAAAAAAGTGTTTTTGTGAAGGATTTGTCTAAATACAAATTAAATAATTTATTTTGTCATGTGTACATATTTAATGGCAATTTGTTCATCAGATGTTTATATTAGCAGTGGATTGTCTTAAGTATTTAAGTGCATGCGTGCATGTGCTATAAAACAGGACTTGATTCTTAAACTGCCCTCCATGTGAAATGGTCTGCATAAGCTGCAACATCAGGTTTCTGAGAAGGGAAACCAAAAAGAGTTGTCAATGTTTTATACCAAATGGAATTAAATTCAATTTATTACTTATTTAAAAACCCCACTGCAGTCATAGCAGTCAATAAAACAGCTTATGTATGCACAACTGAAACTATTCCCCCCAAAAAAACCCAACATCCCCATTCTGTGCTTTTGCTGTATTTATCATTACAGTGCTGCTAGGCTGCAAAGAAAACAGTGGTGTTTAGTTTGGCCAGGGGCTAAAGTATAATTAATCAGCTCCATGGTCATATATTAGGCCGGATGTTTGGACAGTGCTCATATCGTAAAGCGTATGCAGTATGTATAGTAACATGTTGACATGTTAAATATATGTTAAATAAATCCCCAAAGCCCTTGCATCTTACGTCTTTCATTGATAGCAAGTCCATTTGTGCAATGGATCATGCATTGTTTCCACAACAGTACTTCCATGCCTAATAAAATGCCATTGTGAGTCTTTAGTATGCACTGTCCACTGATTTTATGCAGCAGTCTTGGAGAACAGAAGACAAGGACCTTTCGGTGTGTTCGCTAAAATGAGAGCTGTCATGATCCCTGATGAGTTCCTGGGTTTCCTCTATAGTTAGAAAGCTACAGTTAAACCCACTGAGCCAATATGAGGCCCAAGAACCATATAAAGGAAAAAACATGCATCACTCACTCTGAAATATTACGCTTGGCTGCACTTGGAAAGTGTTTGCACTCAGAAGCAGACATCTGAGACTGAGAGTCTACTGCAGTGGGCTGATCACAAATTAGGCTACCTCCCATAAGCCAAAAGAAAAGAGAAAGAAGGAAAAGTCCTCTGGATTTGAAAAAAGGGAATGTTCCCTTTTGGAACCTGGTAGTGTTCATTTTTATGTTGCTGGCAAATAGTTTATTTTAAAGGGGCCACATCATGGACGCAGCTTTTTCTTTTTTTTTTACTGTGGGGAAAGAGCTTGATATAATATGTAAACAGGGCTAATGTTTCTAAATGTACTGTTATTTCCCAGTCCATATGGTTCATATGTGGAAACAACTTATTTTGAGTTCACTCTTTTTATGATGTCGCAAAAGCAAGCAAGTTAGTACTGCTTATCTGTTTATTAAGCCTGCAGCAGTTTGTTCCTGTTCATGCCTGCTGAAGTTATATGGAATATTCAAGCCTGGATTGCTTTTTGAATAAAGCATCGTATAAGGCAGCCAATCAGAACTCCTTTACTCATATCACTCTTACTGTTTAATTCTAAGGGATAAAGAGTGGTTGAAAAGCCCATGTAAAAGTGAATTAGGACCATTTTGGTACATAAAACAACACAAATGTCATAAGTGGGCCTCAGGAAAAAGTAGAATAGGGGAACTTTAAATTAGATCATGATTAGTTCTGTTGAATATGGTGTTTGTGAGAGTATTACTACTACCTCTGCTGTTACTTTGTTCAGTAAATGACAAGTATCAATTCCCTTTAAAGATAATAGTTTATGTCTACCGAAACTTTTAAATTTGAGAGAAGTGGAGAACAAAAGGGAAGTTGCTGTGAAACACCTGCACATCTGCACGATATGCAATGGTTTATTTCTGTCTCTCTCCATCAGATAAGGCCATCCCATATGGGCATGCTGTGTTTGAGGATGGTGAGGCCCAGCTGATGGTCCAGGATGCTGTGTGTGCTGATGAAGGCTTGTACTCGTGTGTGGCTGAGAATGAGCATGGTCGAGTGGTGTGCACAGCCAGAGTGCTGGTTAAAGGTACAGTACACAGCATTTCCTCCACTAGTGTTTATCTCACGCTAAAGGTCAGCTAACACATTTCAATCCAGCACGCCATCCAGATATGAAACAAACAGACTGTTCCTAAGGGAGAAATTCTAGTGACAACAGAGAGTGAAGCATTATCCTTCGGAAGTTTGTGGAATGCCCCAAATACAGGCTTAGCACTGTTCCATGCAGAGAGCTGTTATCTTGGCAGCTCATTTGAGGATATTAAAAGACTCAAATGCAAAAAAAAGTTCCCATTGCTAAATTTATCCTGATTTTTGTTCCATATCAAAAGCAGGCATGGAAAGAATGGAATTACTTGAACTTCCAAAATATTTTCATATCAAATATCACAAACACACTGTCATTTTTTTCACTCCACCAGAGGCATTAGGGGAGGCTTGGCCAGCAGTTTTATAACACTCTTGACTGAGACTGCTGGACAAGACTATCTATTTAGTAAAACAAATGTTATCACTTTAGCAGAGTTCAGACTCTATATGCGGCTTAGCGTCCCTCTGATAAGTGATCTCAGGGCTGTGTTTTTATGAGATGGGTTATTTCAAGCACTGTAGGATTAAAAGAACATCTGCTTTATGTGTTTCTGTTTGTAGTGCTGCTGTCTGCGAGCTGGTCTAAGGCAAAGGTTTCAGCATTCACGTGGGTTAAAAATGTGAAATACCAGCATTTTCCCACACAGCCGTGGCTGGAACTGATAGGCCAATATAGCCTGTCCCTCTGAAGGACAGATGGGGAGAGTAGCTAATAGGCGAGAGGAATGAAACAATAAGAGAAAGAATGAGTTGGTTCTTGTGAATGGGGAACAAAATTACATTGATATACTTGTATTTGGATTAATAATAGCCAGACCCTTAGCTGATGGTCATGAGCGTCTATAGATAGATAGATAGATAGATAGATAGATAGTTTTATAGGCTTTTTTCTATAGAAACTGCATAAAGCCAATTTCATACAAGTACACTACCAGTCAAAGGTTTGGACACAATACAACTAAATATGTATTTTTCAACCCTAAAGATGACTTTGGGCTTTTTTATATTTTTTTTAAGAAACACCCTCCAACAGGTGGTTTTAGCAACAATAAGATATAGTCAGGTTCATAAATATTTGGACATTGAAAAAGTTATTGTTATTTAGTCTAGCTCAGCACAGCATATTGGAGTTGAATAACAATGAATATGGGCTCAAAGTGTGGACCTTTAATTTAAGGTTATTTACATCCAAATGCAATCAGTAGTGTAGGAATTACAGCCATTTCTAACCATAGACCCCATTTTTTGAGGCTTGAAAATGATTGAACAGTTGGCTGCTCAGCTGTTCCATGACTAGGTTTGTGTTATTTCCTCATTATTTCACTTACAGATAAGCAGATAAAAGGTCTAGTGTTGATTTCAGGTGAAGTATTTGCATTTTGAATCTGTTTCTGTTAACTTTCAATATGAAGTCCAAAGCGCCGTCACTGCCTGTGAAGCAAGCCATCATTAGGCTAAAAAACAAAAAAACCAAATGTGGCCAAATCAACTATTTGGTACATTCTTAAAGCGAAAGAATGCACTGGTAAGTTCAAAAACTCCAAAAGGCCTGGAAGACCATGGAAAACCACTGTGGTGGACGACAGAAGAATTCTTTCCCTGGTGAAGAAAAACCCTTTCACAACAGCTGGCCAGATCAAAAACATCCTCCAGAAGGTAGAAGTATCTTTGCCAAAGTCAACAATCTAGAGAAGACTTCACCAGAGTAAATAAAGAGGGTTTACCACAAGATATAAACCACTGGTAAGCCTCAAAAACAGAAACACCAGTTTGCCAGAGAACATCTAAAAAAGCTTGTATGGTTCTGGAATTATAACTTATGTACAGATGAGACAAAGATCAACTTGTACCAGAATAATGGGAAGACGACTGTATGGGGAATGGAAGAAAATGCTCATGATCCAGAGCACACCATCTCATCTGTCAAGAATGATGGAGGTAGTGTTATGACATGGTCATGTATGGCTGCAATGGAACTGGTTCCCTTGGTTTTATTGGTGATGTGGCTGCTGGTAAAAGCAGCAGGATGAATTATAAAGTATATAAGAGAACATTATCTGCTCAGTTTCAGTCAAATGCTTCAAAACTCATTGAACAGCACTATACAGTGCACACAGTGGACAATGACCTGAAGCAAACTGCAAGAGCCACCCAAGACTTTTTTAAGGCAAAGAAGTGGAATGTTCTGCAACTGCAAAGTCAATCATCCGTCCTTAGTCCAGTCGAGCATGTATTTCACTTAATAAAGGCAAAACTGAAGGTAAAACACTTCAAAATTGAGGGTACTATGTATGAAAATGGTTGTAATTCATACGCTGTTCACCTGATTTGGATGTGAATACCCTCAATCTAAAGCTGCAAGTCTTTGAGCATATATTAATTATTTAATTTCAATATATGCTATAGTAGAAAGTTAAAATAACAAAAACTCTGCTGACGTCCAAATCTTTGCCGATCTGACAGTATAATGGGACATTTACCACTGTAAAAGCAGTTTGCAGCTATGAATGACATCTTGTATCTCCAAAATGATAATTTTACAGGGAAAACCAAAAATACTAGTATAACTAGAAGTTAATGTAACAAGATTTTATTCCATGCAATTTTTGACCATTTCTGGTGAGGCATTCATCATGAAGCTTTGACACAAAGAAAAACACAGCTGCTGCATTTCAAATTGTGTACAATAAATAAATAAATAGATTACAAAAAGAACAATATGAGTTTTTGTTCCAACAATGATGAGATATACATAAAACTGTAGTAGAATTGTAAGTGCACTTGTTTAGTTGATAAGATTCTTATGTGGCTCACAGTTAAATGTAAGAAAGAGTACTCACACACATAGATTACACACACACATATTTACAAATCCATTATGTAAAAATACTAATATTTATTGTTACTCCTCTGCATCGTCCTTCTGTGTTTGCCCATCATCTGAACTTGGTTTAAGACAGTTAATAAAATTAAAATTACTCTTTGATTCTGGCAAGAACATCAATCTCTCGCAATAAAGGGGTATCAGATTAAATTAATAAGATTATGTGTTTGCATATTGACTTCATTATAGACTCATCTGGCCAGAATAAACAGATTGTAACCTTAGCTTGGGCCATGCATTCCACTTCAGGTCAGCAGGAATAGTGTGCACTCTTCATTTCTCAGTGTTTATATTGCTTCTCCAGTTCATGAGAGTGAAAAGCTGATTCTGAGCTTTGACATTGACATATTGTGCCAAAAGCATTCTGAACTGAGCATGGTAAGGCTGCATGAGTAATTTGATTATTTTGAACACTGTTGACTGTTTTTGGACGTGGTAATAATAATAGTGGTGTTGAAAACCACTGGAGTCCATGAATAGGCTTTTTATCTGTCTGAACAATTGACACAAAAGGCAGTTAGGGAGTTGATGTGTAAATTTTACTCCAGTCATTTGAAACACTCAAGTGTGATACAGAAAGTATAACAAATCATACATGTTAAAACAGTATAGATACAATATGTGTTGCATTTCTTTTATTCCTGTCCTATTTGGTTGTGAATGGTATTAAAAAGAAAGCTGTCTTAAAAAACACTAGTAGTACTCTAATCCAAATTCTGCAATATAATAGACTGTGATCTTTCTTATATTGTCTCTAGACACACAAGTAAAGGGAGAGATCACAGAATGCCACTCTAACACTGTATGGAGCCTCTGTTATCAAGCAGCTTAATATGCAATCGCTGTACAGCTTGTGTTCTCACACTGCATTTTTTCATAGGCTCCTCTGTTCTGATATGTCCATTAGTTTTGCAGCTGCAGAAAGTCCTGGGCTGTCCCATCTAGACTGAGTATGTATGTTGGGCAGTATGGCCTGACTCTGAGCAGACAGGTCAAATTCTTCCACAACAAACTCTGCTTTGTGCATGAGGTCATTGTCATGCTGAAACATAAAAGGGTCTTCTCCAAACTGTTGCCACAAGATTAGGAGCACACAGTGTTTCAGAACATCATCTCCACTTAGCAACGTCACCAATCAGTATCCCCATTTCAGCGGTAGAAACAACCAGAATCTCTATTTCAGCAGCCAAACCACTCAGAATCCCCGTTTCAGTGGTAGAAGCAATCAGAATCTCAATTTCAGCAGCCAAAAAAACCAGGCTCCCCATTTCAGTGGTAGAACCAATCAGAATCTCAATTTCAGCGGTGGAATCAATCAAAATCTCCATTTAGCGGTAGAATCAATCAAAATATTAATTTCAGCGGCCGAACCAATCAAAGTCTCCATTTAGCAGTAGAATCAATCACAATCTCAATTTCAGCAGCCGAACCAATCAGAATCTCCATTTCAGCGGTAGAACTGATCAGAATCTCCACTTAGCGGTAGAACACATTCTCACATTACAATAACAGCACTTACAGTTTACTAGGGCAGCTCTAGTAGGGCAGAAATTTGATAAACTGACTTAATGGGATGGTGGCATCCTTTGATAGTGGAATGTTAAAAGCAGCTGAGCTGGTCAGTGCAATCAATTGCAGTGCCAGAGTTTGTCTATGCTGCTGTTGCATGTTAAATGAAGAACTGCATTCCAGAGGAACTGTATTTTGTTCCTTCCTCAACACATAGTTGGACTTTGACTTTGAGAGATAGCTATAGGAGTGGAGAACCCAAGACTGAAGCACAGCTTTCCCACTCTGTGTATCTGATGCACCAGATACTAGAAATATCTTGAAGTACATCACACACTGTTTATGGACTTCCAGGAGCTGATTTGCAGTAGTGCTGATGGAATGGATAGTGTGGCAGAATGGTAAATAAAAGAATGTTGAAGGTTGATGTCTGATTAACTTTATAGTTTCTCAGTCCCTCATTCATGTGAGTTAGAAAATAAAAGGTTTTACGGATTCTAAGGGACTAAGAAGGATCACTCTGTATGGAGGCACATTCCTATCTCAGCAGCTAACATTCTGCCTTTATGTGTATGTTTGTGCTTGTTATAGCCAAGGCAAGTGTTAAGAAGCCAGTACCTATGCCAGTCTCAGAGATGAAGAAAACCTCTGCCCCAGTATTCCTGAAAGAACTGCACGATCTGAAGGTCATGGATGGCAGTCAGGTCACTATGACTGTGGAGGTGACAGGTAAAAGCATCTTCCTTCATCTGGTCCCCTACCCATCATATAACTGAATGGTAGAATTTGCAATGCAAAGCATGCTGATCATTGTATTTACAAGTCAGCCAAATGCCTGGCTCTTCCACAAGGCCACTGGAACAATTTGGGTTTTTGGTGTTTTGGAATTTTCTTCTGCACATCTCTACACCTGCAGCAAGTATATTTTTCGATGGATATTTTGAATTTAATGAAGTGTTTTCAGGTCATTTTTTATTCAGTAGAGGATTCTGGATTGTCACTAACTCTCCTCAGTCTGTTTGCAATTTTCAAATGTTTTCTCTGTGTTTAATTTTTTTGTTGTTGTTTTGCAATTGAGGAGCATTTCCTCTAGAGTCCCATGAGATCTGTTGTTTGGAATGTGCAGTTGAGTTTCCTCCTGTGTTTGTGACCTGAGGGGAAGGTTCAGCTCCAATTATTGTATAATATATAATCCAGAGCCCTTCCTGAACCTCGAGAGGAGTCCCGGCACTCCTGATAACTATCTTACCAATTTTTGTGCGCATTCAAGGCCTAAACAAATGTTTCATTGTGTCAGTAACATAAACAAATTCCATTCTTATGAACAATCTTTCATTTAGTAGACATATTGCTACAGCAAATTTACAGTGATTGTGCTTATGACAAACTGGGGTTCAATTTATTGTAATGCCTTGAATTTAGGAGACAAAATAACATCGAAAGATATTTCTGAGTGTGATGGATAAGTGTGAAGTGTGTGGTGAACAGTTGAATGTGATTTTTTTAAAACAATAGCTATCATCACAAATCTTTACCACCTTACTACTGATATGCTTATTCTTCTCAGTAATAAACATATTTTTGTATTGGACATTTTGCAAAAAAAAAATAAATAAATAAATAAATACATTTCGATATGTCTAAACCAAATATCTATGGATGTAATTAGAATCAAAATAGTTCATTCTTTGTGAAGACACACTCTAGAGAAAGGATTTTACCAAACAGATCATTGAAATCTAATTGTTTTTTGGTTAAAGCAAGACAACACTATGCGCTGCTATTATAAAACATTTTTCACATCACCTTTAGTGGAAAATTAAGCATAAATCCAGCTATTAACAATATATTATTAAATGTTTATGTAATATCCTTCAGAAAGTGGGAACATAATATAGTATAATATAATATAATGTAATATAATGTGATATAATATAATATAGGATTATACTGTAAATACGTTTTACGTGGTTGTGCTGAGTTTGTTAAAGTTGCTAACTTTTGTAAAATACAGTATTCATGAGTGGAACAGAATTGTCTAAACTAAGTCAATTATTTAAACTAAACTAAAATATTGATGTATGTACTTAATTTTAGGACATCCTGCTCCAGAAGTGCTATGGCTGCACAATGGGAAGGAGATTCAAGAGTCTGAGGACTTCCACTTTGAGAGGAAAGGCAACGAATACAGCCTCTTCATACAGGAGGTATTTCCTGAGGACACTGGCACATACACCTGTGAGGCATGGAATGAGGAAGGCGAGGCCCGTACTGAGGCATCACTCACTGTTCAAGGTATTGATCTATGACATCATTACATGCACATCAGCCTTTATCCACCATCATCATTTTATTTTATTGCTCTGAACTGAACTGATGTTAATCAACACTGGTGTTGAGAAAGGCCCACTCAGTTCATTTTCACATGCATATGTATTCCAGAACCTCAGGATGGTGTGCAGCCATGGTTTATCACTAAGCCCAAATCATCCACAGTATGCATGGGTCAGCATGCCCTGCTGTCCTGCGCCATAGCAGGAGACCCCTTTCCAGAGTTCTTCTGGATAAAGGACGGACAAGAAGTCTCACCTGGGCGGGATTTTGAGATCCTGCAGAAAGAAGACGTGGTTTCGCTCCTCATTAGGAGAGTGAAGCCTCACCATGCTGGAGACTATGAGATTCATCTCAAGTATGAGCTTATAAGAACCTATTATGGCTTACAGACAGAAATGTTTCTCCTCGAATCTGTTCAAAAATCCAACAGTGATAATACGATATAAACACTTAATACACAGCAGATTTTACTGAGAGTAGAAGCAACTCTTTGTTTTAGGTTTTCAGTTCTAGAGTTGACACGATGTGAACAGAAGTGGTAGTGTGAGTCCTTTCACTTCCTTTAGAAAAGCATATTCAGCCTATTAGTGGTTACTTCTTTTAACTCAGCACAGTTTAACCCAATTTAAAACTACCCAAAGCATTTCTGTTCTTTACAGGAACAAAGTAGGAGACTGCAGCTCAATGGCCTCCTTGATAGTGAGTGAGGATTCTGAAGAAGAATCTCATAAAATGTATGTATTCATTTTTTTACCCCCTCATCTGTTGCCTCACAGATATATTTATAGACCTTTTTCTGCCCTTAAGCCCTACTGTGAATCAACTTATAACCACTATAATCTCCCTACATAGCCAAAAAAAATCTATTTGTGCTGCTTCCTCCAGCTGTGCTATTGTCCAAAGGGGAGAGTGCTAGCAAGGGAGCCCCTCTCTGGGCTCATTCCCTTATAAGGCCTCTGAAGTCATCTGTGATGTAACTTTGTGTTGTGCCGCACAAACTCTTTCCTCAATTAAGCTGCTCTCTAGTGTGGGCTGAACCCTCTAAATGTCTCTGCGTTCCTTCCCTGCTCTTCCTCTGCTGTAGAGAGGGTTCTAGGAGAGCTGGAGGGGTGGAGAGGACAGACAGAGGCAGGGGAGAGCAGAGAGAGGCATCCAGCCCTGCAGTGTTCCAATCAGAGCAGGACCCACTTTGGAAGCATCAGGATCAGGGTTGGGATCTAGAGGAGCCCATCGCTGCCCGTGGTCTTCTGAAGAGGCGCGTGGAGACCAGGGAACACCGGGAAGACCAGATCCGTCAGAAGGAGGCCGAACAGATCGACTTCCGAACTGTCCTGGGCCGCAAGGTCACCACCAAGAGCGTCTCGGAGGAGGACCTGAAGGAGATCACGGCCGAGCAGATGGACTTCAGGGGCAACCTCCAACGGCAGATCAAGCCCAAGACGCAGACTGAGGAGGAAAGAAAGGTCAACTCTCCGCAGCAGGTGGACTTCAGAGCAGTTCTGGGCAAGAAGGGAACTGGAGCCATCAAGGCTGGTTCTTTTGACAAACCAGAGCCCAGCAAAAATGACCCAGCTGACTTCAGATCTGTGCTGGGAAACAAGAAGAAGCAAGGGAGTCTGGATAACAGTGGAGAGAGTCCATCCCCAAAGAGCTCCAAAGGGAAGGAGAATGATGTGAACTGTGTGGATGGAGGGATGATAGAGCCAAAGAATGCAGTAGGAGGGAAAGAGCTGGTTTTCACACAAAAACTGAGCGACGTGACTGTACTGGACGGGGAACGTTTGCATTTGCAGTGCCAGCTATCATCTGAATCTCCTGCTACTGTTACATGGACTCTAGATGGGAAAGTGATCAAGCCCTCCAAATTCATCATCATTACTAATGAAGGTTAGTATAAAATCTGTATTCTGACTTGATCCATGCCCTTAAGAGCAAGGATCCATTTCCAGAGACACTTATCCTGTGTGATTAACGAGAGTTGGGTTCAATTTAGGCACCATGAAGTATGAACACAGTTCTACTGACTTCCAGAAAGTGCTCTGCTCCTTGTCAGTGTATGAATATAAGCCTAAATCACTTAACACCTGATTTATTACTATCGTATCTCCTCTAACCTTCCGCCTGTTGTCTGGACATAATGGTTTCCCTGTAAAATATGTGGTCATATTTACAGTCGTGTTGTTGTGGGGAAGTATAAATAGTAAGCATAAGAATAACAGAAGCATTCCCTAGGTCTACTCTTAAAGGGGTTTGCCAGATTTTAATACAATGCTGCATCTTTGGAGCACTGCCGTCCTGCCGTCTTGAGGCGGCGTATTTTGGCTGCATTGTAGTGCTTCTCCAGCTGATTGATGTCTGTTGCATGAGCCCAGTACAATTCAGTCTGATTGAGTTCAATAAGATTCCTTAAAATTGAATTCTTGAATGTTTTATTCACTCCCTGTGCATGAGTTCTACATCTTTTTGCTCCATCTTGCTCCATTTAACTCTACTTTGAGCCATGTGGCATTAATAAAAACCAGAATCTCACCACAAACCTGCAGATCATTATAGAGTACAGTTGATAACGTGTTAGGTTCAGGCAGTTTCCTTGTGTCCTAGAGAGAATAATCAGTGCTAATGAAGAGGGATCTTTGACAGTCTGGAGTGACAGCATGGAAATGTCTCACTGTGTAGCTAATGTAGCTCTGCCACCTGTCATGTCTGTCATAAAAGCAACTCTGCTGTTACTCACATAGGACTCTCTGAGCCATACTGAAGTGTTATCATCTTCTACTTTCTGTATTACTTCAAAGTCTGTAGGTTAAAGTTAGGATACACCATGTCAGAGCTGAACCTTCCACTGTGCATTGTGACTGATCATGCTCACACCGTTCATATTAGCCTGCTCTAACAACCAGTTGTGTTAGTAGGTGTTAGATAGATGGATGGATGGATGGATGGATGGATGGATGGATGGATGGATGGATGGATGGATGGATGGATGGATGGATAGATAGATAGATAGATAGATAGATAGATAGATAGATAGATAGATAGATAGATGTCTCAACAACTAATTATAATTTTCTAATCTCATATTCTTTTTGAGAGAATCCAAGTAATTGCAAACACATTCAGTGTTGTTGATATCTGGACTCTGGGCTGGTCAGTCCATTGTACCGAAAACATTAGTAGTTTCTTTGTTTGATTTGCAAATTTTCTTTTCTCAGAAACCACTTCTTGACAGCTACACATCTTCCATAGTGTTAAGTTGTCTTCTCACAGTGGAAGGATGGACAGAAACACCTGTGGATTATTTCAGATCTGAAGCAAGAGTGGAGCTCGATTTTCTCCTCTCTCTCAAAGATGAAAGCTAAAGCAGTGTTTATCTGATGATGTCTACCAGGTCTTGAAACGTTGTTAGAAGTCCTGTTTTCTCTCAAGTCTGTCTCTCACTAAGTCCATAACTTAATGGCCGTTTTGACTGTAAAGTTCTAAAGAGAAATAAGTGAAGACACTTTTGAACATTATTGACTGTGAATGATGAAACATAGTGAACTTCTTTGTGATGTATCTGTCTTCATCTTGTTTCTTCACTGAACGATATGTTTCCCTGTGTGTGTCTCTTTGTGCGTATGTATGATCAGGTGGTTTGTGCTCTCTGACCATCGATAAGGCCTTGCCTGAAGATGAGGGTCAGTATGTATGCAGAGCTGAAAGCTTGGCAGGAAGAGCAGAGTGTTCCTGTATGGTGCTGGTTGATGGTAAGTAAATTCATTCATCACTCATGAGATGCAGAAGCTTGCTGAATAAAGAAAAAAGGAGTTTTCCAGCTAAAACAATAGTTCAGCAACAATGTTACATAACATACACAATTTTCCCCTTACTCCAAATGCAGGCAGTTAGACAAGATGTATTTGGTTTGCTATAAACAATAAAAATAGACAAAAGTACAATATGCTGTATGACAAAAAATAGCAGTAGTAGCTATATTGCAGCCTGATTCCTCCAGACAAAAAGTGTTTGTATACACAGCTGGATTTCATGCAGTGTCAGAAACCACTTAGCAAGTCTATTTCAGATTACTTAGCAATTTTGATATGGTGTGAGCTTCCATTGTTTGTTAGCTACATTAGCCCTGTTGTTTCAGTGCAAAACTGAAGAAGCAAGATGTAGGCACCAAATATCTTTACTGGTTTGGCGTAAAAGAAAACATTTCCTCTGTACATTCGTCCATTTAACAATATTTAATATGGTGTCAGAAACCATATTAGTAATTCTATTTGTTCAGTTCTGTTAAACTTAACACCTTGATGTAGTTTGAGGTAACTGTATGGTTAATTAGGCATGTAGTTTGCATGATGCCTATTAAAGGGAAATTCCACTGATTTTTCAAACATTTCTAAATAATGCAGTCATTAAGATGTAAACAAAGTTATTCAGAGTAGTTTGATGAGAAATGTAGTGATATTTGTTCACAGCAGTTTTGATATCTGAAGCACTTAATACCTCTAAAACAGTGGTCACCAACCCTCACCCTGGAAGTCAACCCTCTTGCAGGTTTTGCCATCAATGCAAGACATCACATTCACCTAACATTTCAACAATCCACCATTTCACATCAAACTACTTTGAATGACTGTTTACAACATTATAAAGAGGATCACAGATACAATGTGTGATATTTTGGCACAGGGTAAACTAAACCATGCGGTCCATGAATGTATTATTTGGTCAGTGCTGTTTGAGCTCAGGGCTGGTGAGTTAGTCTGGGCTGGTTTAGTTTTGGAGGCATGACTCGCTACTTCTCTGTCCCCTGAGGCTCAGCCACAGCCCAGCAGCTTCCTGCAATTACAGAGCTGCGCCGGCACGGGCTCCCCACCGCACGTCCCTGTAGACCTGCATGCTCTTACTTAACCATGCTGACACAGGAAGAGCAGCTCAAATTCACATGATAAGTGCTGCTTGCAATAGCAGTTTGTTAGCAAATGGATTCAAATGCCAGCATCAGTGGTCTTCCAATTGTACTAGTCGTGTGCAGACATTTGGTTGATTATTGATTTAAGGCCCTGCCAAATCTTAATAACTTAATAACTCTCTCTCTCTCTCTCTCTCTCTCTCTCTCTCTCTCTCTCACTCACACACACACACACACACACACACACACACACACACATGCACTCTCACTTGTTAGCTCTCTGTCTCTCTTATATATATGCCCTCTAAAAGTTTCAGGTACTTAGAAGAATTGAAGTAAGAACTAATGTAATACTTGCATTTGGCATTTGGACTGGTGAAAGTGACTGCAATGTTGGTTAGTTTATCACATGCTCTTTTTCATTTCTGCAGATCCCAGTGCCTCAAGCTCAACACCGACTGACAAGAAAAGCAAGAAGCCCTCTACCCCAACCACAGAGAGTGAGTTTCCAAAATATGCACTTTCTTCTTTATTTCCCAAAAAGGAGAAGCATGGGAGACCTGAGTCTTTCCCACTGCTGAATACACACACAGACACACACACACACATACACACACACTCACATGCAGTGTGACCATTCCTTACAGAGTCTCAGGGGCTAATCATTGAACCTAACTGAAAGGTGTGTGTGTGTGTGTGTGTGTGTGTGTGTCTGTGTGTGTGTGTGTGTCTGTGTGCAGGTTGTATATGGCAGGAGAACAAATCCATAGTTGTGAAACTATAGCTGTGAGCAATTATGTGTGCTGATGTACAGAAACATGAGGTTACACTATCAGAAAGTTTGGCGTGTCACATCACAATCAATTTGTTAATACACACAACACATAATACAAGTTTGCACTGTTTTGATTTTTGTTCAGTTACGTGACCTTATTGCACAAATGATCTAGTTATATTTAGGGATGCACCGAATCCCAGGAATTCTGCACTGATGCTTATATCTGTTATTTTTCATGCGCATGTCTATTGAGACATACACAGGCATACACAGTTACAAAATGTAGAAATTCAGGATCCACCTGGATGATATCAGTGGGCAATATGGCATTATTTGTTGTTGTGATATATTACATCATATTATATCACAATATATAACTGAAAAATAACAAATTGTAAAATGTGACAGTTTTGTGAGTAAGTACGTTATACTTTGCTTCTGCGAAACATGGGGGCCTAAACAATGACTAAGAAGGCAAACATAGCGTAACTGGTGCTCTGGCGCTGCTTTGTCGTCTAATAGGCTAGCTAGTGTAGCTGATGTTAGCTAAGTCAAGAAACAGTGAAAATAAATTACTCTGGCAAACTAACATGTTAAAAACAGCATCAACTGAGGAGAAAATACCTTGTGTAGAAGACAATGAGTCCAACACGTACCAGTTAGTGTTAGCTCTGAAGAGGCAGCTTCCTTGTTAGTCATCCAACATGAAAACCTATCGATTTCCCACAATTGTTTTTGAATAACATTCATGAACACTAATGGAGTACTTATACTCGAATATCAAAATTAGTAAGAAGACACATCCTTATCATGTATATGAAAATATCATGATATATTTTTGCTGTATCGCCCACCCTTGTAACTGGTAAACTTGAAAACAGACCCAGAATATCAAAAACATGTAAAATGCACCCAAACCTAACCTTTAACACTAGCATCTAACAACTAACATTCAGTGTCTCATACATTGCACCAAATCCAGTTAAACAGGCCTAATTATGCTCTGTTTGTAATGAAACATACAGTTGGCCAGTGTTCTTTGAATACTGATGATTTCCACATATTCTCATAAGCAGATTGTGATGTAGGGGTGGGCAATATGATGATATTTTATTGTTATTGTGATAAATTCTGTAACAATACGTTCTCTGTTCTGAGCACATGGTAGACATCATCAGTACTTTAAGAACACTGACTAACTACATGTATCATTACAAAGTAAGCATAAATAGGCCTGTTTAATTGGATTTAGTGCAGTGCAGGTTGTAAAACATTGAATAAATGTCATTGTAGCCATAGGATTATTATATTGTTGTTGTTGTTGTTGTTGTTGTTGTTATTATTATTATTATTATTATTATTATTATTATTATTATTATTATTATTATTATTATTTTATGTGGCAGTACAGGTTCTATTTTTCTCTGTTCCAACATAATACATCTCAGAAAAACAATATCATGATGCGTATCGTGTATCAGGAAAATGTCTTGGAAGTATCATGATGTAATAGTTTTGTCATGCTACCCACTCGTATTGTAACATAACCTGATGTAATTTATCACAATAGCAATAAATATCATCTTATTTGAGGCAACAAAAGTATACAGATTTTAGTAAACAGACTTTAAGCTTAGCAGTCTCTTCAAAGATTAACATATTAATATGAAACTAATAATTCCTTACATATGAATAGTAAATACCAATCTATTGATTGGGCTATAGTACAATGTGTGCATTCTATGTGCCTGTAGATGTCTATAGAGTTCATGATGCCTCTTTGCCAGATGAGGTGTTTAATAAAGCTAACTGTGTCCAAACTCAGACAGACCAATGTAAATGAGATGGAGAGGTAGAAGGAAAATGGAAAAGATAGAGAAGGAGGTTTGGAAGGAGTTGGAAGAACAGAAATGAAGCTGAGACTTATTGCATGGCTGCACTTCTCCTAAACTTCCATGTATGGGCTCAGTCATCCCCATTCCCCCACATCCCCCTTTCTCTCTCACTCTCTCTTTCTCTGCCAGTCTCTCACTTTCACAACCCCCCACACATTCTTTTTTATTTATTTTTTTCTTGTCTTCTTTGGCAGGGTGCATCTGCAGCATTGTCCTCAGTTTGCTCTTGATCAGTGCACTGTTCAGGAGGACCCACAGTGTTTGTGTAGTGACTGTGGGATAATGTCTGATGCAAGGAAAGCATACTTTTTCTGCCATGTTTTCATTATGTTAGACTTGATTCTAAGAAGCATGTAGTTCAAATTAGAGAACAATGTAGCACAGCTTACCGAACAGTAGTAGGTGTCATGATGTCCCCAACAACAGTATTGAGGATAGCACTATTTTGGTCTTGTGTAGTCTGTTCCAGTTTGAGAGTGGAATCCTAGAGCAACTACTGGCAACCTGGATTTTCCAGGATTATTCTGAGTGATGTCTTAATAGCCTGAGTCTACTGCGGAATGTAATAATTATCAAGGTCAGATATAGACTGTCATAATTTAGTTGAAAACAAACATACCAGTTGTTGAAAGGAAACATGCCATCATCAGGACAGTCATTAAGGCTTGTATCTCAGAATGATATTTGGCATGAAATTTGAAAACTGAGCTGACATTACTCTGAAGAATTATTTACAGATATTCCACATGCATTTATTTATATGTATTAATGAGCATGTGAATTTCCAATAAATGTATACACAAAATTGTTGTTGAGTTCATCTTTATAACGAAGTAAGAGTAACTTTCAGTGTAACTGACTTAGCCTATTCTTTTGTACAGTATAGTGATTAAAGCTGGCACTCAGTTTGTTGTTTGAAGCACTCTTAGGTTCAGCTAGTGCTTTTGTCTGATCTATTTCTATTAGTAGACACAATACAACAATTTAGTCACATCAGACAGTGAGCGGTACGTGTCAATGTAAAGAAAATGCAGAAAAAGTACAGCCCATTGAAGGGATAACTATAACACTTTTGTATATGTTTCAGCATGAAGTGCAGTTATTTTTATGGAGTCAGATGCAGTCATGGGGAATCTTTGTAAGTAAATCAAATAGTGCAAGAAAAACAGGCAGTGTGTTATGGAGACTGCTGGAAGCCATTAACCTTTGCACAGCAGTGCTGAATGAGGTTCAGAACAGAGCAGAACCACACTGAGCTTACTGCAGCACACCCAGCTGGAGATATCACCAGCAGAACCACACTGAGCTTACTGCAGCACACCCAGCTGGAGATATCACCAGGAGAACTACACTGAGCTTACTGTAACAAATCCAAATGGATAATGTTGTGTATTTGATATGTAACATTTGATATGTTGTCTTTGTACTTTTATCAATTAAATATAGGGTTTAAGTGATTTGCATGTCATTGCATTCTGTTTTTATTTGTACACACACGCACACACACACACATATTTTCTGAAACCGCTTATCCTTCTGGGTCGCAGGGGTTGCTGGAACGTATCCCAGCAGCCACTGGGCGCAAGGCAGGAAATACCCTGGACAGGTTGCCAGTCCATCACAGGGGTTTTTATTTGTATTATTTTTTTATTTTATTATTTATAATGTTTTATTTACATTACAGCGTCCTAACTTTGGTAACAGGGTTGTAAATTCAAGTTAAGATCTATTTACATAGTGTGTTTTACAACAGGTGATATCACAAAGCAGCTTTACAGACAATTACAGGAACCTAGACTCAAAATAGGAATCTACCCTCCTTTGCTCAACTTAGCGAAACATTAATACAACATAAGCTGTGAATTAAGAATAAGATCCGACAAATTAATATATAATACTGAATACTGGAAAGAAACAAGCCTGTCATAGGACGGTAGTATTTAGATTGACCAGTGATAACCAATGACTACTGTCAGAGGCCAGAGTAACAAATGAAGTATAGATCTATAAAAACAAGTGACTTTTGTTAGAAGCAGACGACAGTGGAAATGAGATCTAGATCCATGAACACCAAAAACTACTGTTAGAAGCCTATCAAGACAACACATTAGTATGAATATGTGAGGAGCTCACTATAGTGTGAGGTTTCTGCAAGACAACTAGCTGGAGATATCACTAATAGAACCAGACTTTCTGTAACAAATTCAGTTGGAGATATCACCACTGCTGAACTTATCTCTGTTTTTGAGCCTTTCACTCCCTCACCCCTTCAGAAAGGCACTCCATGTTGGCCTGTGTCATTTAAACCTTTTAAAATGTTCATTTTAAACCTTTTACTTGCTGTGTTTTCATATTTCTAACATCCAGAACCATCAGTAGGATATGGTGGCACAATTGCTGGGCCCACCTATCTTTTATCTTTGGCCCACCCAAAATTACCAAAATCCCAATTAACTGGTAACCATAATAAGCTTGCTTATCTCCCTTCTGACCCACCAAAACACTCTCTCAAATACCCAGCTAGATTCAGTGCTGAAACAGTGAGCTTCTTATGTGTTTCAAAGTTCATGGGTTTGCACTATCAATGGTAGTGTCAGCATTTTCTGAGATAATTGTAAGGACCTTTATGTGTATTTAAAGACTGGAAGTGTATAAATATAGCTTATTTTAAGATTAAATTACCTGAACACAGAATTAGAGATTAGATAAATACAGTAACTTACAGTCATATTTGACAAGCAATAGAAATATAAATCTTTTGGCCATTCTTTGGCCCTCAGCTTGCTCACTAGGGGTCTAGATCCAGATTTTTGCAAAGGTACTGAAT